GACAGAAGACAGAAGTGTATAGGAATTTGTACAGCAAGCTGCTAAGATGCTTTTCTGTCGGTCGTCCGCTCGTGGAAACAGAACTGCTGTGGCCATCCCCCTTCCAGGGGTTATGAGCCCAAATCGCTAGCGCCATGGATAGATCAGCTCACTCCGAATCTGCAGGAGATAGTTCTCCAGCAAACTGGGCTTCCTCAGTGCAGGCGGCAATGTATGGTGGTGATGACCACGGTGGTGCTTCAGAAAGATCACACATGAGTTGCGTATCAGAGCAGGAACTTCATCCTCCATATGAGAGAGAGGCTATGGAGGGCGAACAACAAGAGGTACCGAGGTTGGGAGTTTATCGAGTAGAAGCAGGTTCTCCTTCTCCGGCATCACAGGGGTCAAGGTTACCGGTTATGGACATCGATGAGCCAGAACTGGTACCAGATTACTCGGCCTTACCTGCAGAAGAAAGTTCCAAATCGGAAGTTGCGAGCCCTGAGAACCCGCAGTTGTCATCACGGCCGGTGACACGACCTGGGGCAAGTAGCGTGGACCACGATCAGAGTCGTTCGCTAGCAGCGGTTGGTTTATCACCGGGAGCAGCCTCGGGATCGCCGAGTAGTTGGAATACAGGGCATACGCAACTGGAGGAAGGTTTGGCGAGAGTGCGGCATGAGGTTTTGAGTGAGATGAGTGTGATGCTACAATCGGTTATTCAGGCTAACCTGGCACCTGCGCTTGATCAAGTTAGGATGGTGCAAGCGACCGTGCTATCACGCTTGGAAAGGCTGGAGGTGGAGCGCTCAAGCGAGTACTCAGCATCTGAGCGGAGTGCGGGTAGCCATAGGCGGATGGAGAGGGGAGCTGATGTTGGACCTAGGCGTAGACCTGGGGATCAAACAACTGGTGGACCCAACGTCACAGCTGCCATGAGAAGCCTTGCCATTGCAGATCCAAGACCTGCTGCAGAAGTTGTCCCGTTAGGGAATATTGGGGTTAATGATGCCAATCCTTCCCGGGTTACGGGGGTACCATTGGATCATGGCTCGTCTAAAGGCTCCAGGGGTTCTGGGACAGTGGCGGTGGATGGTATCTTGCATTCTTGGCGCTTTTCTCCTGATGGAGAGTTGGTTCTCGAACCATGTGCAAGAGAAGGAGCACGAGAAAGCATCATTGACGCCCAAGTTGTTGATCCCACATACAATCGGGATGAAGGCGGGTACCCTGAAACCCGATCTGCTAGTACTGGTGAAGGACTTAGCCGAGGATCGATTGAGAGAGGTGAGCGTGAGCGAGGGTTTAGTGAGAGACGGATGAGAGAACGGGAGTGTAGCGACCGAGATGAGATTCGCCGAGGGTTGAGGGAGAGAGGGGGAGTGGATAGACCGAGTGCGATTTGTGATTCAGAGGAACCTCAGACTATCAGGAGTAGGAATCCTGCTACTGAAACCCGTTGTGCATCTCCTTTTGACCCTAAGGCCAGGACTCCTTTCAGTCCATATCACTCAGGTGCTGCGGCACGGACGTGGGAAGGGTCTCAAAATTCGGTACATGGTGCGGGTTTGCCTCACTCCCAGGGTTTGGATGGTAGGAGTTACAGTCGCTCTCCTGAAAGGGCCCGAACTGTTGCTGGGACAAACCCACGTTTTGGAGCCGAAAATGGGGGTTTGTCAGGGTCACCACTTTACCCCACGAGCGCTGTCCATGGGGATCTCCAGGCGGAAGGTGCTAATGTGATTGCTTCTTCCGTGCCATGTGCATCCGAACAGTCTCCCACCAGAAGACCCAGGATCGTGTATCCAATTTCACCCGGTGGAACAGAAATTAAACCTCCTCCTCCTCGTAGGTCCCCCAGTAGGAGTGAACAATTCAAACATGACGATTACATTCCTTCGCCCCCACCTCCTGCTCCGGAGAATGACATCCAAAAGTTGACAGCTGCCCTTGAAGGGGCGATCCGAGGAACGGGGTCGGTGGATCGAGATCGGGTTGAGGACGTTAAAAATGTAGGGGAGCTGCCTAAGCTTGAGGTTAAAGAAACTGAGCGTGAGTTGACTCCTCTGATTGCTGGGGATTGGGTTGCTTTGATAGGTCCCTCTTTGCGGGATTTGTCCGCGCACGCCTCTGATTGGTGGGCCGAGTCCCTCTCTGCAGCCCAGGAATACTACACGAAGTGGTTGGATAGTGGACCTATTGAGCGCCTCACTCTGAAACCTGAAAGGCCCGATAGGTTCGAGAGAGGCAAATACGCTAGAGTGGAGCAGCGCGCAGTTTCTCTCTTGTTGAAAGCAGTGCCTCCCACCATCAAGGACGAGGTAGTGTCAATGAGGCGTATGACATCAATCGAGATAATGGGCATCATCCTTACAACTTTTCAGCCCGGCGGCCTTAGAGAGCGTACGGCGCTCTTGAGGTATCTTGCTACACCAGAGGGGGCCAAAACGGTTTCGGATGCTTTGCGAGGTGTCAAACGTTGGGCTCGTTGGCGTAGGAGGGCCGTTGAGTTGGGAGTTACACTACCGGACGCCACGCTTTTAATCTCGGGTCTTGACTGTCTGACATCAGCTGTGGTAGCCCAGTATCCGGAAGTACAGTTTCGACTTCAAACGTTTCGTCATCAACATTCGGTGGATCTTGTCCCTACCTTAGATAAGGCAGTTTCCTTGGGAGAAATGATGCAAGCAGAGCTTCAGACTCTGGAATCTTCTGGGGCCAAAAAGCCAAAGCTGGCGCGGGTTGACACCCGACCGGACGGTGCCGATCCATCTCAGAAGGATGGTGGTAAAAAGGGTTCTAAAGGGAATAAAGGTTCAGGGAAGGCGACCGAGTCAACCTCGGGTAACGCTTGTTATCATTGGCTTACTTCGAAGGGCTGCTCGAGGGGTGCGAGGTGTAACTTTGCCCATAGCCATGAAGACCTTCAGAAGGCCCCTGACTCTAGAAACAGGTGCTTTGTGTGTAGTGGTTTAGGTCACATGGCCTATCAATGTCCCACAGCGGACTCTGCGGACGCAGGCAAGGGTTCGAAGGGTGGTAAACCCAAGGGTTGGGGTGGAAAGGGTGCGGATAAGCCTGATCCCAATAAGCCAGCCGCGAAAGGTGTTGAGGAAGATAAACCGTCGGAGAGTTCCCAAGCCTCGAAGGCCCAGCTTGAGTTGTTGAAAGAAACCCAGAATTTGATAAAGACCATGCAGGCTAAGGCGTTGCGAATGAAGCCAACGTTGAACAGACTCGAGGCTCATGGTGCTCGCACGGGGTTGTTGGATTCTGGGGCCTCCACTTGTCTTCGGGGTTTGAAGCCCGGGGAAACTACAGAGGGGATGACGCGTCGGCTTGTAGACTTGGCCGAGGGAAGTGCTGTGTTGTACATGAATGAGTATGGTACGTTGATTTCCACTCAGGATATTGAGTGTATTGTGGCACTGAAACCTTTGATTAAGCTCGGATGCCATTGGTTTTGGAGCGAAGGGAAGTGTGAGTTGATCCATCCGGTAAGGGGTGTTCTCACGATGGATGATGCAAGCGGGTGTCCGCGCATGAGTGAAGAATTGGCCTTAGGGCTTCTTCAAGACATAGAGAGTGGGTATCACAGGGCATTAGCCACCTCGGTTAGGGCGATCCAGATTGCACATGAGTATTCCGGCACCGAGGGACGTCACCTTGTGAAGTTTTTGGTTGAGGCCATAAGGATGGATCAAGATGTTGCCGCAAGTCTGGAGGCAGTGGTTCGGCGATTATGGTCAGGGCAGTTTGAGTTGGCCGTTGGTTGTCCGTTCACTTGGGCTCCTCGGAGTGGAGCACTCGCGTGTTGGAATCGTCGACAGCGTCGAGCATGTGATAAGAGTGAGAGGGTAGTAGTAAGTTATAAGGGGGATCCATG